TAGTGTAGCGTCTAGCCTGAAACAAAGAAGTCGGTACTTTTTACACGGAGAAAAAAAAGCTGGTAAAATTAACATACTCTATGACATTTCTACGCAATGACATTTATGGTAAAAAAACAACAACATAATTTTGGTAAATAAAACTTAATAAGTTGAAATAAATAATGCGGACGCCTTTTAAATTAAATCAATCAAATGAACTACAAGTTCTACAGATAGATGAATGACAACAAATATAAAACTTTAATCCTTTAATAACCAATAATTTAGCATCAAAACAGATTCTAAAAAAATATAATTCTAAATTAAACAAAATAGAATAGCAACAGCTATATCTGGTTGCAACGCAACCTAACGTGAAATTTTAAAACAAATAAATCTAAAGAAAATTAAAGGTGGCTCTTCTGTTAAATATACATACGTTAATGACTTTGTGGCGTAACTACCCCTATAAATATTAAATACCAATTCACTAGTATATAAGACATGTTAACTTGAATCTATCAAGAGGTACCTTTTGGTAGATAAAGGTTGTCATAGTCGATAAATAATTTCTCTCATTGGTGACTTGCGGACGTGATAAGAAATTGTCAGTATCGAAGAATGATCAACATTAAACAGTTGATTTGCTTAAAAATATACTGCTCAAAGAAAAAGAAGAAGAAAAATAGTCCGGTGAAATAAATAAAACCCCCCGGTAATAAACAATAATGATCAAAATGCTATAAACAAAAAAAAATGAAGAAAAAAAAATGAGCGAAATGCTATGACGAAAAAATTTAATGAGCAAAATATATATAAATAAATAAACAGCATGAGTCAGCTAGTGGTATTCGTTCATCGAATTCTATCACAGTTAAAATTCTGGTTGGGGAGTAATGTGGCGTAACTACCACTATAAATATTAAATACCAATTCACTAGTATATAAGACATGTTAACTTGATTCCATCTTGAGGTACCTTTTGGTAGATAAAGGTTGACATAGTCAATAGATAATTCCCCTCAACTTAAAATCTTAAACAGAATCCAAAATATACGGTATTTATGCCATACATTTTGTAATTTCTCCGATCATATAGTAACTGCTTAACGGACATTCTGGTGGTCAAACTGATTCATCTTATTGCTATACATTTAGTAAAAAATACAAATTTTAAAAGTAAATCCAGCCAAATTAATGGTTTTTATGCCATCTTAGAGGGCATTACACCACAATATTTACAGTGCAGTTTATCAATTTCAGTAAGAAATACTGGAGTATAATGAATTACTCTTTAATGAAATTAAATCCAATTCAACAATTGCATGAAATAATTCTTACATAAACTGTCATTAACTTTAGAAAGATAAAATATTAAATTACTAAATGTTTGTTGTTGAGACATGTAGGATCACGTTTTAGGAGCAAGTTTGCTGTTATTAAAGATTTTATTGGAATCTGTGATATTACTAATATTTTTAATTATGTCTAGTAATTTCACTGATAATTTTAAATAAAAGAATATAATAAAATACGTTTTAAATGCAAATATATTGAAGCATACTTCTTTGACTAAGGAGATTCACCCCTAGATCACTGTGGCTCGCAAGCTCTATGATTTCTGAGAATATTTCTTGTTTCTTGGTGTTAAACGGATTTATGAATCGAAACTAAACATTATGTAATTAAAAAAATTTAATTTAAAGATGCTAAATTTTTCCCCCGACTAATAGATTTGTTTCCACAGATTTAGTTGCAACGTCATTCACAAACTTGTATTGTAAATTCTTATTTGATATTCGTTTACTATAAAAATTCTTTAAATGTTTTACGTAGCGTAAGAGATATTAGTAAGCAGTGATGTGTAATTCCTAGAACATTTTTGAAACTTTTTATACAAAAAATGTGACTACAAGTATTGTAAAAAATTGCAATTTACCTCAGCACCAAAAATGGCGACTACTGTACTGCGAAATTTTTTACTTTATTGCAAATCGAAAACTAAAGGTAACTTTTTTACTGTTTAGGGATTAGGAAACGTTGCAAACATATCAAAATGTTGCATTATAAGATAATATAATAGAATTATATTTTAATTAAGAGGTATCACTTGTGCGGTTAACTTTCAATTTTAAGTTAGATTAAAAATTTCAACAAGATTGTCACGATTGTTAATTTCACTTTTATTTAAAATATTGCAAAATTACCTGCGATTAAGATAAGGATTTGGTATAAAGAGTATAGCAGTTTAAAAATAATTGAAGATATCTTTATTTTTACAAATTTATTTTAAATATTTTCCTTATCAATATAGGACAGTTTAAAAACACTCTCGAATAAAATATTAATAAATATTTCTTAGATTAAAAAAATCTTATAAATTTTGTTAATTATGATTATGACAACCAAAGATTTCTGGCTCTGTTTTGTTAACTACTGATATCAATCAACAAATGAAAGGGTGTACTTTGTGCTATATAGACTAAAACAAAAAGCAACTTGAATAAAGCACAAATGAAAGTAGATAAATGGACATACTGTAGTTCCAGTTTCATAAACAAGAACCTTCCTCACTGTTTAAACGTCAAATGAAGGTAAAGAGACTTGTAGCACGTAAAAAACACGTGTAAAGTAGTTTAACTAATAAGGACAGAGGAAACAAGTTTGAACAAGGAAATTACAGGGGGGGGGGGTTAAGAGACATGTGTGAGGAGATTTTGCGGGAACCAAAGGGTGCAACACATTAAATTAAAGTAGACTTCAAAATACGGTAGGATACTAGAAAAATTATTTACTAAAATACTGGAATTTTTAAAAATTTAGAGTAACACCCAAGAATCAATTTCGGAAGGTGAAGAGCAGTGTTGAAGGATTTTAGTAGAAGAAAACTCAAACCAGCAATTAAAAATTCTAACAGTGTGGAACGATTGAAGAACGGTAAATGTCATGATTTCGTAAATGTTTTAATGAATAACGTATTTCAGATTTGTAAAAAAAAGGCATTTTGTTGGTAACTGTAAAAAAGAATTAAATCTAATAAAAACAAAAAAATAATTATATCTCGAAGAGATTTTTTTTATTTAAATTTTTTTTTGTACAGTTATCATAACATTTAAATTATCTTCAATAAGAATCAGCAACAATCCAAACCATAGTTTCATCTTAATTCCATGATTTATAATAACCAGAGGTAAATATAGTGTTGTTACCATAAAGTACGACGTCTATGGTGACTTCACTTTTCTTCATCACTGCAAACGTACTGGTCTCTTTCGCATTTTCCATTTCCGTCACAATGATCAGAGCAATGGTGTCCATGATCAGGGCATCGATGGTCCGCTTCCACTCCGATGACGACAACTGGAAGAAAAATTAAATTAGATTAGTTGATGAGCAAAATCATAACGAAAACGTTCGTTATTCGTCTCCATTTTAGCTATGGCAGCTAGTAGCAAAATTTAAATAAGACCAATAAATGCATATACGCATATTTTAATCAAATATTTAGAATGCTGGTTAAGTACTTAAAAATAGGATAAATTATGAACAGAAGGTTAAAGTTATATTTCGAAGGCAGGATATTGAGTTTGTAGAGATTTTTTATGTATCGTCTTGCTAGAACCAATGACATAAGGAAAATTTTTTTAAAATCTTATCTTACTTTACATTTCGAGTAAGTTTTTTGCATGGTGTATATTAGTGCTCCACTTGGTTTGAAAATACCTTATTTTGTAATTTCTTTTCTGATTTTGAATGGGCGTAGCGTCTGAGTAGTGTAACTCTCTTAGTAAATTGTATTGTCACAAAATCAATCACACAAAAATGCAGCTAGCTTTATCAGAACGAAAGTAATATTAAACGAAACTGCAAAACTTCCACAATATAAGAAGCCTTCCAAATTAGTGTCGTAGGGTTCGGAAAGGAGTTAACCATGACTGAATCTTAGTCTATACTGAGAGAAACAGCCGCAGACAGTAAATCCACCAATATGCTTGAGTTGTAGATAGTGCATATTAAGGCCTGTTTTGAGTTTTTTTTTTAATAAGCTTTATTTTGAATTTTTAGATGCAAATTGAACCGTTTAACAAGAATTTTGAACGAGATATCTGTTAGGCAGAAGTAGTTATCAGTAACTCAAATGCACTAAAATGTTGAATTTGCTACGATTTGTTTTCATTTCTTAATGCAGGGTGTTTATTTTTCGGGCATGCGTTGAGAACTGGTTGTTATATAACGTAATAAGTAATACTTTTAAATTTAACTTGGAAATACTTACATTAAAAAGAATTATTTTTATTTTGTTCAAAAGTTTTAAATTTTTATGTACTTAAAATGTACAAAAATGTGAATAGTTCAAATTTATGTATATGAAATATACCCGATAAAAATTGTACAGTTTGTCTATGAAAAAAACTCCCCTCGCAACGAAGTCAAAGGCCGTCTGTTCCTATGGAAAAAAGAAAGACTGCATTTGAAAAAAAGAGAAGATTTCCTCTCCTCTTATTCTCTTTCAGTCACGAATCGAGTCAGAATTTGTTTTAATTATTGACTCATAGTTAAATGATTTGACATAATTTACCTCAACCTGGAATAGTTGCCTCATATAATCGGAACATGGGCGGTATAACTAAATACTAAACAAAGACTTCTAAAGATTCAATATATATCAACAAAGGAATCTTACCTTGTTTCGGCTTCTTGTTCTGCCTTCACCTAGTATTCTCTTCCAAAGGTCTTGGGCTGTAGATAATTAATACACTTAGGCTGAAAAATACTTCGCACAAAACGTTTAAGAATTAAATTTAATAATTAAGCATGATAAAAAAGGGAAAGCTATATACAGATGAAAAGAGTTGTACGTTGCATGACAAATTCTAAGCTATACCACGCTCGTGGAGAAAAAGTTCGTAATTGAATGTTTCTGTATTTGTCCGCTAGGGGGGATCGAGGCATTCTCAACACTCCCCTCCTTGAGTTCAGTAGAGTGACTAACTGAACTAAAAAAAAAAGTCACAGCATCAGGGTTCAAATCGATCAGGAACACGCACTTGTCTTCCAGCACGAGTTTGCAGAGTCACACACTGATGAGGAGCTTGCTTCTTTAGTTGTTCAGTCAATTTTTCTTCAGTTGTTTTGTTGACTTCAAGAGGACAAAGTTTTTTCAAAGGACGGATTATGATTTCGGATTTGGTTTGCAACTTAGCAGTTCGGGCATGTCCATCTTTACTTGGCAAAATCTTTAAAATACGCCCGAGAGGCCACTGAATTCTGCTTACATTGTCATTCCAAATTATCACAATGTCCCCAACTTGCAGAGCTTCTGAAGTTTTGGTCTTTGAAGAAGTTTCTCGAAGTTGACCAAGATATTCCGTTCTGAATCTCTTTCGAAGATTTTGACAGATTTCATTTCTGTATGCAAGTCGTTTTTTGAATTTTTCTTGATCTAAAATATCGAAATCTGCAACACCCACCTGTCTTATTTCTTGTAGGAACATCATAGGTGTTATTGGTGATAGCTCCTCCGCATCATCGGACACATAAGTCAGGGGGCGTGAATTCATTACACTCTCACAGTCACAGAGAACTGTTACCATTTCCTCGTAATTCAACGATGTTCTACCCAGAACCTTTCTTAGGATTCTCTTCATCATGCCAATTAAACGTTCCCAAAATCCCCCATACCAAGGGGCAGACGGGGGAATGAAATTCCAGGTAATTGATGACAGATTGGATTCAGTCTTTAGCTTTTCCCAATCAATGCTTTTTAGAAGGTTCTGTGTTCCAACGAAATTAGTTCCATTATCTGTGTAGACAACTGACGGTCTTCCCCTTCGTGAGATAAATCTTCTAAGTCCCAAAATTAAGTTTTCAGTAGAGAGGGATGATAAGAGTTCTAAGTGAACAGCCCGAAATATAGCACAAGTCACCATCAAGATCCAAGTTTTTTGACCATCTTTCAGAATGAGGGGACCAGCCAGGTCAGCACCTACAATTTCAAAGATGGCTGCATCCTTCACTCTATCTGCTGGCAAAAGACCATCTGGTACATTGGGAGGTTTAGAATGAAAACGTTTGCAGATGACACAAGATTTTATGGCATTTCTTATAGTTTTTCGACTTTTCAAGATCCAAAATTCTTCACGTAATGTAGACATCAGTAATTGAATTCCACAATGTCCTAATTGCTTATGCTTCCAATAAATCAGATTTTTAACCACAGTATAATCTGAGGGAAGAACTATTGGAAGACGGAAATTAAAATCATCTTCTCTCATAAATACCTTAGTTTTAATTCTGATCAGTCCTTCATCATCAATAATTGTTTTCAAAGAATTCAGTCTCTTATTTCCATCGTTGGCAAAAGCATCCTTTTGGACACATTTCAGAATTATTTTCTCAGCATTTTTCAATTCTTTATTGTTGAGTTCTCCAATGGTTCTGTCATTTTCTCTTTTCTTTGAATTTTCAGCGAATCGAAAAATCCATCCGGTTATTCTCAACAATTTCAAATAAGATGAGTACTTGTTGTAAAATTTTTCACTCTCCTTTACGTTAGTAGCAGTAACTATAGTCTTTCTTTTTTCTGCATTGATTGTATCGATATTTGGCAATATTTCGCTCTTTGGCCACCTTTCTTCAGGTTCTTTTAGAAAATCAGGACCATTCCACCATTCAGACTGCAGAAGAGTTTTTGCTGAGCAACCACGTGATGGTAAGTCAGCGATGTTTTTATTTCCAGGAACAAATTTCCATGAATTCGGGCAAGATAATCTTCGGATTTCTCTGACTCTATTTTCCACAAATGTACCCCATGGTACGTCAGTTCTAATCCAATATAAGGTATCCATGGAGTCGGTCCAGTAGTGAGTTTCTACATCTTCGAGATTCAGATCTTTTTTGACGGATTCTGCTAACCTTGCTCCAATGCAACATGCCAAAAGCTCTAGACGAGGTATAGTTATGTTCTTTAACGGAGCTACTCGGGATCGAGCCTGGACTAACTGGCAGGTTACATCGCTCTCAACTTTAACTCTAAGGAAAACACAGGTGGCATAAGATTTTTTGCAAGCATCGCAGAAAACATGCAAAGATAAACTTCCTGAATGGAGTGTGAACTCACTCAATCTTCTGGGTATTTTCACGTTTTGCAGTTCAAAAAGTTGATTTTTCCACTTATGAAACTCTTTAACAATATTATCAGGCAACTTACAGTCCCATGAAACTTTGATTTTCCAGCATTCTTGTAAAATTATCTTCGGAATCAAGGTTAATGGTGCAGTAAATCCAATTGGATCAAAAAGCTTGTGAGCTAATGAGAGAATACTTCTTTTCGTTACAGGTTCATCCTTAAATTCCAATTTTCTTAAATCACAAGTTAAAGTATCTTCTTCTGTATTCCATAGCAATCCTAGTACAGGTACTTCTTTTATATTCAAAGATTCAAATGGAAATTCGTCTTTTTCAGCAATGCTAGTGGAATAGCTGTTGTTACACCATCCTCTAAGATCAAATTTGGCTGATGTGAGTAGTTTACAAGATTCATTTCGAAAATAGTCCAGTTCTTGAGGAGAATCGACACTGGTGACGCAGTTGTCCACATACATCGAGTTCTTTAGTTTAGTGGCTAGATCTTTAAGATGCGCAGGGGCTTGTTTTAAGTGATGGTCTAGAGTTGCAGCTAAA